AACATATCCGTTTTCTCATATAGCTAGATGTTTCAAAAAGATGGTCGCCACAAAATTAATCATCCTGAGATTTCCAGTTTTCCCCTCTAGAGATTAGAGAGAAATCGCATTTCTTTTCAAAACATCTAGTATAGACTACCGTAAATGATCGATTAAGCGCCGCGGCGCTTATTGCAAATATCGATTTAAAGACGCGGCGCTTATTTGACAGCGGTGCTTATTCGACAGCGGCGCTTATTTCAAAGTGAGCAAATAGATTATTTTCTGAAGGCCGATGAATCGAATAAACTTTTGGTAGAGGTTACAGGAAAAAGAAAGCGCGAAGTTGGGCTGGTGATTCCCGCTAAGTTCACAGCATATACGGCGAATCAACGACATGCCCAAGCCAGTTAGACACGGAGTTAATTAGGAAGAAGGAAAATTTTAAACTATCAGAACTGTCATATGAGCCCGGTTGTAAGAGATATTCGACAATAAAACTTTAAAGTTTCAATCCTGGTCGTCGTTCTCAATAGTTTAGATGTTAGGATTAACGCGTTTAAATAAAGAATCGTTTATTCTACATTTTTTAGCGTTTATTTATATCTTCCTAAATAGGCGCCGTGGCGCTTATTCAACAGCGACGCTTATATTAATTTTTTTTATCGAGGTGCGGCGCTAATTGACAGCGGCGCTTATTCGAGTAGCGGTGCTTAATCGATCATTTACGGTAGGCTGTTGTAACTTGTAAGTGTTCTTTTCATCTGCTTATGAAAAACATGAAAGTCTGTTCTTTTATATATATAGTACTGTAAACTTGTAAACTGTAAACCACCTCGTTATCTTTTACTTGTATGGCTATTCCACTATGTTCCTAACATATACACAGCCTAACCTTTAACGTTTTGATAAACTGCACTCCCATCTGCTTGTTCCTCCAGGCTTGTTGAATCCCGAGTTACAGTTTGACCGGACACTTCCGTTGACGTAGAATCTTCGGTGCCTATTGCTTCTATCTCCTGAAAATTAAAAAAGAAACGAATAGATCAGACCTATATTGTATGTATTATCGGGGGTAAAAAAATTCGTATAATTCCTATATGTATGTGCGAAAAATATCGTTTATATTCAGTACGAATGAAAAATTTTTTAAAAAATCGATTTTTATCGGTAAACAGATAAACCTTCCCAGCCTAGCTATTATACTGACTACAAATTAATGCATGTTCACTATGAATAACAATTTTCGGTTACGGATTGGGCGTTCAGGCGTTGCACATCATTCTTTATATTCGAACCTAAATTAAATGTTGATGGATTAACTATACCCAAAATGTGGTTGAGAGTGTATACAACTGGTCAATGAATTGCATTTTTCGCAGTGCATGTTTACAATTTTGTCTATATATTTCAATATAAGCACAGCTACCGTCTCCTGACAGTGAAGACATCTACTGATAGTCTCAAATCACAGTGAAATATACAGAATTACAAAGAACTACACTACAAAGGTGATTAGTAGTGAGAAGTCTTCTCAACTTCTTGTTTGAAAACGCTGCCACGCTGCTCCCTGGTTATATTGTCGTATTGACAGTTTAAGAAATAAGCTATTTTTATATAACGCTGTTTTAAACTTTAACTTTGGCGACTTCGATGATTGTTAATTAAAAGTGTTTAATATTAAAAGGTGAAGAGTTGAAGCACCATATTCACTCTTAATTTAAAACACAGTGAATATTCAAAGCAAGTTAATCGAATATTGTGGTAAAAGTTCCATGGCTTCTTAATTAACCAGGCTACAAAACACTTTTGGCAAAAATGTGCACACACATCAGCCATCTTGACATTTTCACAACACTCACGACCATAAATTGAAACCAGGCACTATTAACGACAATTAACATTCAAATATTTAATATACATACTTTGAAAAAGTCATCAAGTTTCGAGTCAATTTGAACGTTTTCGCTAGGTTTTGTTTCATCTAAATCTTTTGTATTCTCTTCACCACTGGAGGAACCTTGCTGTTCTAAAATTAATGCGAATATAGATTCAGCTAATTATTGGTTTTTCACTCTGAACGTATCTTGCTTATGGACAAGAGTATAGGAGTTGTAAACGCCATTGGGTAAGAATTTCACCCTCTGTTTATATTTCGTTATACCGAATTCTGTATTTTATGTTTAAAACTATTAATTTAGAACTTAATTTAGTGCTGCAAAAACAAAGTCATGAGTTGTTGCGATTACATAAACGGTCATCCGTAAAATATCACTAAATACAGCATAAATGCCTCTTAAAAGCCCTTTTTAAGGGACTTCGCGAGTCGCAACAAGCAAGTCGCAACAACGAGTCGCAACAGGCGAGTCGACCAAAAAAAGAGCGACTCCAGAAGAAAACGAAAACACAAACACACACGAATAAGTATGATAACACATAATTTGTACGAATAATTATAGTGCACCTTTACTTTCTTGTTACAAAATTTTGCGCCATAGAGAAGAACAAAAAACAAAACAAAAATCCAAACAACTTCAAAGACTACATATAAATCATACACGGTATTATGTTTTTTACCATCCACATTGTGTTTATATATAGTCTTTCAAAGTTTGGATTTTTGTTGTGTTTTTTGTTCTTCTCTATGGCACATCTCTTTATAAGGTTACGGCTGAAATGCGTTTTTTCAAGGCATACATGTAAATTACCTTGTCATAGAATATCCTTGTAATAGTCCTGGTAAGTAGTTTAATATATAACAATAGAGTTGATGTTCGTAGGCATAAATGTGTTTAAAAGGGCAATGAATTTTTTTAAACTATAGACTATATCACAATCTCCTTCTGATTCTAAATCATTTATCCCTTCAATTCTACATTCCACCGGTACACTTATTTCCTAGACGTGCTCATGCAAGCATTGTCTCATTTAAAAAGAAAATATTTTCAAATATGGCCCACATTTAGTTGAACATTCCCATATAATATTTTGGTTGATTACAAAGAAATATGATATGTTGGTAATTGGTATACCAATAGGGCTTTAATGTTAGTTGCACAAAATATGACAACAAAACCATAGGAAGTCCAAAAAATATTTGAAAACAGTTGCAAATGAGTTCAGTGATAACAATAACTATGAGCTAGGTCACTGAACTGAGCAGTGCACTGGACTAAATTTTATTAATTCCAATATTTATTTGGCTTTCTATGAACAAATGAACCTGCCAAGGGCAAAATTATTACGTACAGTACTGTAACTTCCATGGCTTGCTCTACAATGATGATTTAACTGATCAAATGTTTAAACAATGTATTGAGACTCTAATTTTAAATTGAAGATAATAAAATTACCTTCATCTTCATCACTGTTTTCAGCATACTGACCAAGTAGTCCAATACCTTAGAAGACGAGTAGATTATTTAGATAACATTGACTGCCTCAAAAGTTAACTACACAATTGGTTCTCAAAGTATATTGTTGTTAAGAAGTAGAGTACCAGGTATTAAACTACAGGAAACAAGTAATATACTATAGGAAGCCCAAATTACAGATTTTTAAATTTTTCAATAGAATTCTTCTCCCACCATTTTCCTACCATAAATCGAAAGCAATCTTTGATAATGCATGACAATTTCGTCACTGACAATTGCAGAACCGGTATTTAATGTTTGTTCTTGCAATCTTGCATGCAGGATATCCCTAATGCAGAATTTTGCAAGGTCTGCATGGAAATGAAACTCATTACTTCCAAATAATAAGTGTATACCTACCTGAAATGCTTGTTGGATTAATTTCTCTTTTCCGTGAACTCAGTTGAACAGTACCTATTTTTAAAGAAATAATTTGTCATTTTTTAAAATATCAACCATAATTATATAGTTAGAGACCCTGATTTGTACCATTTGACCAAGCAATTAGGATTAAGGTCAAATAATTGTGAAACAGGTTTGGGACAGTTTGGGGTATAAAATATAGTATAACTTGGGTTAGGGTTAGTTTTTAGGTTAGGGTTAGGGCATTTTTCTATGAAAAACCAAAATAAATCAGTTGAGGAGAAATGACCTCATGTCATTTTGGTGGTTAAAACCAAGTGACTAACAAATTGAGCACTGAAAGATTATCAACCAACATTGTTCATATTTAAGTTTGGAGCAAGGCGTTATGAAAAACATAGAACTGTAATGAATACAAGTTGTACAGCTTGCTGCTTGCATGTCTTAAAAATACCAATGGAGATGTGTATCATGTGTTCAAGACTTAGAAACCTATTAACCTAACCTAAAAAATACAACAAGAATTTCGACGTCTCCAGCAAAGGCTTTTTCCTAAACTGGCTAAACATAAATCATTTAACGTTTACAGTAACGTTTACAGTATATATTCACAACAATATTAAAAAAAGATTGATTTTACCTTCGTTTTCTTTTCTGCGAGAAACTGGTTCAATTTGAAGGACTGTTCTTCTACGACTAGCCGAACCAACATTAAATTTCTCCCGTCCTCGACGACCCATGTCACGGCATACGTTTTGTCAACTGGTAAAATTAACTTTCATAATAAAAGCGTCCAAAAAACGAGCAGGTTTACAACTTGCATAGAATTGCATAGAATATATCAGAACAAATATCACAACATTTTCACAGTCAAATTTTGGTTAATTACGAGTGCGGAGAGGGAAGTAGCCTGGGTACCAAGGTTCCCTGCCGAAATAACACCCGATTAGCACCTCATTACACGTATATAAACAGGTTTCATTATCTCTCATTGCCCGTATGTAAGTGCTAACGAAAGATCTGCTGTACCTGCTGGCGCGCTGCCTCCAGAGCAGGCTGGAATCGACCTATGAATCGACTGACCTTCGTTCCGCTAAAAACCGCGAAACTATAAAATTTGCGCCAGTGTTCCGTGTTCGCCATATTGCTTTGATAGTGTTGCACTGTAGTCGCGGCTGTCGCGCACGTTTACCGATTTGCATTTCGCCGAATATTAAAATAAAATAAGTAGCTGAATTATTCATAATGGAAGTAGAAAGATTGTCAATAACGGATGCACAAAAACAAGTTCTTGTGGATTTTTATGAGAGAGGAATGGTTTCAACCAAGAAAGGTTTAGCTGAATTGCATGTTGAATGTGCTAGCGCTTGTGGCTTGTCTGAAACCCAAGTAAAAGTAAGTTTGTATAAATGATACAAATAATAAAACAATGAAACAACGCTGTGTGTACTGTTAAACATGTTAAGATATAAAATATTGGTAGGTCAAAAAAATAGATAAACTAATATTTGCAAAACATCTTTTGCACGCCGTCAAATATTTATTTTGCATAATCATATAAATCACAGGTCATTCAGCAATTTATACGTCAAGGCAGGCAAATAAGGATATATATTAAAATTGAGAGGATATTTGCTGTATTTTATCAAATATATTTATATGAACTCCCGAAGATTTTATGTTTATAGTGTAAGACTGATCACCCTCTAATAGAAACATTTTTTTTCAAACTTTACCTTGAACAGGGGCCCTTTAATTGTTACATATGCCTGTATTTAAAACCTGACTCACTCACACTCACTGAGTAAGATATCACAATCACCTCATAACCAATTTCTATGGAATCTATGATGGTATTTTTGCTCCAGTAAATATGTTAATTTTGAATATTTCACCCAAATTAAATCTTGCTATTGACTAAGGAAGGACTCATTGATCAGCATAAACATGATCACTGGGTCACACTTGGTGAGAGTGAGTCTTTGAGAATACAGGCAACATTGTTGGTGTTTGATTCATTGTGCAATTTCTACAATTTACTACACAATTTTGCACCCAACAAATTCTGGAAAGAATAGTAATGAATTAATAGTTAATATATTGTTCCGAGACATCAACCCATAGCATAGCATTGTGCCCTGATGCTCCCTACTTTAATTGGTATTTTACTTTGTCTAACACCAGACAATTTTATTCATCAAGAGGTGACTGGAAATTTCATTTGCCATTTGTACTGCAGTTATACTGCACCAAAACTAACCCCAACCCATGCACACTGTAAACCCCAACCTTAACATTGGTTGGACATCAAAATGTTAAAACATTGCAAGAAATAAAATTGAAAAATATATGAAGAAACTAACTTATAATCTCTAGAGAGTACTTGGTGCACAAGAGCCAGGTTTCAAACTCGATTTCAAACTATTTTTTCTATGCAATCAAGCTATTTTTGGAAAGGTTTATTGTATATGTGTTGTACTGTACCTTTATCTAATACCAACCAAACATTTTTGTGCTTCGTTTTTCATGGGATAATCACTTTAGTTTACCTTATTTTTTAGAACTGGATAAGTAATTATAAAGCTAGCAAACGATCATCTGGTGAACCTAGGCAAAATGCTAGTAAATCAGTTCTAATTCGGAAGAGGAGTGGCTATAATGTTTTTGCCAAGGAACAACTTGCTGAAGGTAAATTAAATCTGAAGTATCATTGTGATTAATACCTGTAAAAAACAACTGATAAGAAGAGAGAGGATAACATATGGGCTTCAATCGGTATGATTATATTGATGATATATATTAAAAAACCACAGTACATCCTACAATTAGATTTCACATGCATGTTACTCAATTAGGCAAGTCGGGTTTTATGTTAATAAAATTTCAAATGTGGGTTGCCAGTGTAGGTACATAGATTCTTTGCCGGATAAATTTTTGGTTGATATATATAGCCTGATAACTACCTGAAAAATATAACGATCAATCGCGTTATACTGCATCGTAATTAATACTTTACTAATAATTCCCGTTAAATTTTTCAGGTATTTAACATTAAGTGGGTTACAAAAACCCTACCAGTTTATCTTGTTAAATGCATGACGTCAAATGCATGCACAGGGACAGCATTTTGACCACTTACTTTTACTTTTGATCTGTAAAATATTTGCTGAAAAGTAGCCATCCGTTTTTGCAAGATCCAGCTGATACAGACATAGTATCATTCACTGTAGTCTGTATATGCTATTGTGTGCTATTATGTACTAACATTGTGTACTGTATGTAACATTTTGTACGATTTAAATGTAGGAGACTCCAAGAGCAAGAAACAAAAGTTCTCTGAACTTGGTGCGAAGTGGAAGGACTTGACAGATGGTCAAAAAGAGGAATATAGAGGGAAAGCTCGGAGTTTGAATGATTCCGATGTTGCGGAAGGATTCACTGATAGGCAGAGAAGTAAAAGAATTGTTAACAATTTAATGAAGGAGGTAATGTTATTATTAAGTATAAGTGTATTTACTCTGTATCTCACAGTTTTTTACTACAAATAGTTATCGTTCTAAACCAAAAACGATTTACCAAATACTAACGAATTTTTTAAGCGACTTGGTGGAGTAAAAATTTGTATTCAAGTTGAAATGTAGAAATCGTTGTGTAATATGAGTGCTACCTGAAAATCTCGAAAGCTACCTACACGTTCGAAGTAAATGTGTACCGTGTGTTATATGAATGTGTGTGAATTCACATGACATGTGATTACGTGAAACCACATGTGAATGAAAACACATGCATGTGATTCGAGTTTGGGGCACTCCAATGAGTCCTGAATTGAGCCTAATCAATATTTATCAACACTCAGGTTGCAGAACTTGATAATATAGATGGAGTCGAATGCCTGGTTATCTGTGTGGAAGGTGGCAATATATATCATGCCTCAACAAAATTGGGCCAAAAGTTTCTTGAAGAATATCCGGATACCTGTACAAAGTTTGGAAATGTCATTCAAAATGGTAAAGTGTCGGCCCCGTTCACTTCCAGTGGAATGCGACTGTTAATCTTTGTGCTCCATAACATGAGTCACCTGTTTGACATGAACATTTATACCAAATTTATAATTTTTGAAAACTTATTAAACATGCCTATTAAAAATTGGTCCAGTCTACGAGGGCATAAAATGGGCGAAGTTGTTTAGAGATGCAATCATCTGAATGAGTGAATAATTCAGATACAGTAAAACAGGGAGGAATTTCGTTTTAGGCCGATCAGCGCATTCTAATGTCAGGTTATCTTTATTTGGCTTTGTATACACTAGAGAAATAGTAAATGACAGAGATTTCGTTACATATAATGTGATACTTTTAAAATTATTTTTTCAGTCTCCCTTAATAACAAGATAGATGTGAGCGACAAAATGATTAGAACAATATTTAACAAAAAGTATAGTAAGTACATTCTATATTTGACGTTTTTCCTCTAGTATTTCAAAAATGCAGAATTTATATATGAATTTATATACATACATAAAAATGCTGTTATATTCACTATTGTTTCTTTATGAAATTAGATATGGTTCACCTTTATAAAGGAAGCTTTATTTACAATTGCATAGACCGCTTTCATGACTGAGAGGAATTTAAATATTCTTTTATGGACTTTTTACTAAGCCTGGCTGGCGAAGTTTCTATGACTGAATAGGAATAGAGTTCTTCAACAAAAACGACGCCAACCGGTCCTATAAAAATGCACATAAAAAGAATATTTCATTTCGTCTCTGATGAATTACTGATGAATGTGGCCTTTTATAAAGATGCCTAAAAATAAGTAAATCTCTCTACTTTTTATGTGTGTTATACTATGTTGTACAAGTGCTATACACTAGTGTATATGAGAATTTCTCATAGAGACATTACGAAAAAATAGAATTCACTTAATTCTTCATCGTCTTTGTGTTAACACGTATCAGCGATACGAGCACGGGTTCAACTCCCGTGGGATGATACTATTTATCTGTGAATTCTATCTGACGCTACAAAAAAAGTCAGAATACAAAATTAATATAATATCGTTATTTTTAAGGTACATTAGTTGGCAAGGCTTCACCCTTGCCGTATTCAGCAGCAGAATCTCTTGGACTAAAGTTTAATGGTTTGCCGTCCGAACTCATAGACGAATTGGGTTGTTATCCAAAACAGCCAAACCATTACGGGGCACAACAAAAGCGAAGATTGTGGGAGAGAAGAAACTCCTTTTCTTTTTCTTTGCAATCACACATGGAAATAATCAATACTGCAAGTAACAATGCATCATCTTCTTCAACTTCATCAAATGTCAGTTCGTCAACTAGTACTGATCCACTTTTGCCTCCATCTACGTTACCTCCAATGACTGCATCTGATCACCAAGTCCCACTTTCTACTAGCCTAAGACCGAGTACATCAGGGGAAACAATTAGTACGCCTTCACAATCCCAGCCTCAAGACCATTCTTTCCTCGCTCCCATTAACCAACCTGACATGCAGCTCCCTAGTCAGTCTTTGTCAAAGAATGACGGCCAAGAACTAATTGTTTCTCAAATTATTGAGCAAACAATTTTTTTAAATGCTTCAAATGGGCTTTCACTACAGCTTAAGGAAGGTTAGCTAAAATTTTTATTCCCCTTCGTGAAGTCCGAAACTGATGCGATTTAGAATTTTTTAATGTTCATCAATGTTCTGCCTAGTTATCAAAAGTTTTTATTCGCTTGATTGGTTGCCCCACCAAGGCAGTGACATTTATCCTATATAATCATTTTTAAATTTCATATTTTGGTGCACGAATTTGATCATTGCAACGTCTTATGGGTACCCAACTGCGCCAGTAAAAATGGGTGCTTGTGAAAGCAGTATAATGTTATGTATATGTCTGAATTGAATGTCTGAATTGATCGCCGGTCCATTACGGGAAAGTGCCGGCCTTTACGGGAAATTTCACGGGAAGTGACGCTTGCCATATAATAATACGCGATAATCACCTAAGTGCTGTTGAGTTTATTTGTTTCTTGCTTCACGGAAAGAGCAGAATTAGCTATAAGCACGATAAACAAAACCTGTTTATTTAGCCGATTCTTCTTTTTTCGTGAAGCAATAAACAAATAAACTTAATTAATGGCACTTAGCAACATTACCCATTGCATGTTCCAAACAGAATGCGGTAAATGTCTGCGTTTTCTTTCATCCATGTAATTAATAAAACCAAGATCTATATTTCGCCGTCGTGGATTCAGGCTATGTTATTATTTCATTTACTGTTCATTTTCAAATTCAAACTTAATTCCAGCGTATCTATCTTTAACAAACTGAACCATTACATGCTCGTGGACATATCGGTGTTTTCGTAGTGAGTAATATAAATAATGGAGTTTAAAGTTACATTTTAGCCTGCTTTCTATGTATTCGTGAGTGTCGTGGACATGAGTGCCGATGAAACTCTCCACAAATATTTTTAATAGTAAGGTAAATTTTTATACGCAGGTACAGTTTTTGGGCTTATGGACGAGCGAAACATGATCAAAGGAACGGGAAAGGTTATGGCAAAGCATCAGTTACATGGAAGACCAATTGCGCCTGGTTGTCTTGTAGTTGAAGTGGTCAGTGTGAAAGATAATTGCGCCACAAAACCGCCTGTACCGGGTGCATTTGATGATGACGAGGCGGTGCATATTGGAGGGTTTTACCTGTGGCCAATATCAAAGCTCTCTTTTCTTGGTAACGGAAATTCAAGTTGGAATCAACAAGTGACTTTAGTAGATAACCATTGTTATATAAATCAATACATTGATGCTCTTTTGGCCTACATGCCTCGCTCTCATTATATGGAGTCTTCACTGATGAGAGAGAGGCTTCCAAGCCAAAAAATATTCGGTAATTATATGTATACGATGATAAGTTTATAAACAACAAACATTTGAGAAATATATTATATATAGCATTGTTGTATTAATGTAAGTACTGTAAGTAATTATTTATTGTTACATTAAGATTTTCAATATATATATCCATTTACCAAAAAAAACAAAAAACTAAGTACATTTTGTGAATTACTTTCAGTTCATCGAAAAATTTCACTGACATTCTTTAAATCCGTACATGCGTATGCATTTTGGGGTACAGTTTCGCATTATAAGGTGTTTATATAAGGTTTACACAGGACAAGCAACAATTTCATCCCAATTTTAAAAACGGAATTTCAACAAGATATTTTGCATATTGTTTTAGATCATCGAGATACATGTAATTCTAAAATTTGACGGACATTCATTAAATCCGTACATGCGTATGCATTTTGGGGTACAGTTTCGCATTATAAGGTGTTTATATAAGGTTTACACAGGACAAGCAACAAGTTCATCCCAATTTTAAAAAAAGGAATTTCAACAAGATATTTTGCATATTGTTTTAGATCATCGAGATACATGTAATTCTAAAATTTCACTCACATTCATTAAATCTGTACATGCGTATGCATTTTGGGGTACAGTTTCGCATTATAAGGTGTTTATATAAGGTTTACACAGGACAAGCAACAAGTTCATCCCAATTTTAAAAAAGGAATTTCAACAAGATATTTTGCATATTGTTTTAGATCATCGAGATACATGTAATTCTAAAATTTCACTGACATTCATTAAATCCGTACATGCGTATGCATTTTGGGGTACAGTTTCGCATTATAAGGTGTTTATACAAGGTTTACACAGGACAAGCAACAATTTCATCCCAATTTTAAAAACGGAATTTCAACAAGATATTTTGCATATTGTTTTAGATCATCGAGATACATGTAATTCTAAAATTTGACGGACATTCATTAAATCCGTACATGCGTATGCATTTTGGGGTACAGTTTCGCATTATAAGGTGTTTATATAAGGTTTACACAGGACAAGCAACAAGTTCATCCCAATTTTAAAAAAAAGGAATTTCAACAAGATATTTTGCATATTGTTTTAGATCATCGAGATACATGTAATTCTAAAATTTCACTGACATTCATTAAATCCGTACATGCGTATGCATTTTGGGGTACAGTTTCGCATTATAAGGTGTTTATATAAGGTTTACACAGGACAAGCAACAATTTCATCCCAATTTTAAAAACGGAATTTCAACAAGATATTTTGCATATTGTTTTAGATCATCGAGATACATGTAATTCTAAAATTTCACTCACATTCATTAAATCTGTACATGCGTATGCATTTTGGGTACAGTTTCGCATTATAAGGTGTTATATAAGGTTTACACTGGACAAGCAACAATTTCATCCTAATTTTAAAAACGGAATTTCAACAAGATATTTTGCATATTGTTTTAGATCATCGAGATACATATAATTCTAAAATTTGACGGACATTCATTAAATCCGTGCATGCGTATGCATTTTGGGGTACAGTTTCGCATTATAAGGTGTTTATTTAAGGTTTACACAGGACAAGCAACAAGTTCATCCCAATTTTAAAAACGGAATTTTAACAAGATATTTTGCATATTGTTTTAGATCATCGAGATACATGTAATTCTAAAATTTCACTGACATTCATTAAATCCGTACATGCGTATGCATTTTGGGGTACAGTTTCGCATTATAAGGTGTTTATACAAGGTTTACACAGGACAAGCAACAATTTCATCCCAATTTTAAAAACGGAATTTCAACAAGATATTTTGCATATTGTTTTAGATCATCGAGATACATGTAATTCTAAAATTTGACGGACATTCATTAAATCCGTACATGCGTATGCATTTTGGGGTACAGTTTCGCATTATAAGGTGTTTATATAAGGTTTACACAGGACAAGCAACAAGTTCATCCCAATTTTAAAAACGGAATTTCAACAAGATATTTTGCATATTGTTTTAGATCATCGAGATACATGTAATTCTAAAATGTCTCGTTTTCGTGTGGCATTTATACTCCAGTCTCGCGCGAGAGCTTGAAACTTGGCAACTTGCAGGAAACACCCGCCGGATGTTAAAAAACTCCACTAAAAATAGTCAATCCCCTGCCCCATCGGAATTATTTTTGGGCCTCCAGGAAAAAATTCCGTTATTATCAAGAGAAAATAATAAGGTAAATTAAATTTTATCATGTTTTTAACTAAATTATTCGAGAATATTTTTTTTACAAGTTTTGTCTCTGATCGATTATTATATATATTATAAATTTGTAAAATCTACGTGAAGAATTATTATAGTTTTTTTGTCGTCTAAAATACCATATAATAAACAACTTACAGACCTCACTCTCATTCAGTAAGTACCCAATCCTTAGGGCCAACCCAATCACTAGGGAACTTAAGCATTGACTACGAGTACGACTAGGACTACGAGATTCGTCATTCCCACGCGTTGTTTGCTTACGCTATCAGCCGAAACTCGTAGTCGTTGGGCTTTCGAGTACGAAATTTACAAACTCGTATTTAAAATCAGAATCAGAATCAGATTTATTTTTACACGTGAACAAAAACGTAAAGAAAAAAGCTCGGCGACTACGAGTTTTGGCTGATGGCGTCAGCAAACAACGCGCGAGGATGACGAATCACGTAGTCGTAGTCGTAGTCACTGCTAAAGCTCCCTACTGTCGTGTTAACAACATTCGAAATTTGGAATTCGAAATTTCCATAAAAAATCATAACTATACCGCATAGAGGGGCTTTCTGGAGAAAATTGTTGAATATTTTCATTACAAATAAATAAAGCTAACAACTATCTAATCATCGACTTCATAATTATCATCATCGAATTCGTCATCGTCGCTTTCCAAACTCTCCATGCTCAGCATGTTATAGTATTCCGCTATTGCTTCTTCAGTAATGTCCTCGTCAGGATAATGTGCTTTCTCCGTGGCGAGCGAAACATCAACGTTAAATTGCTGCTTGAGAATACCAATGAAGAAAGACAGTGAACGTATTCTTGACGACAATACAGCTATTATTCCACGATTGCTTTCAGAAAGATTGTCTGCCTTTAGCACATTATACCAACTTTCAAGTTGATCAAGGGATTGCGTGAAGAAGTTGATGCAGTTGCTCATTTCATCTTTTAACATAACAACTTCTTCCTCACATCTTCGTTTTACATTATACATATCAATTAAGTGCTTTTTAATTGATCTGGGCACGTGCACGTTACATTGTTCGGTGCTGTCTAACCCATCCCACAACGACGATTCAATATTGACACACTGCTCAAAAGTTAATTGGTCTGGATATTGAACTTCCGATATGGTTGACACTTTTCCAGCACTTGCGTTGTAGGTATTGATGGCTTTCTTAATCATATTCGTCTGCCTAGTAATTTGGCCACAAAGTTTCTTCGCAATACTTTGACCATCTATAAAAAGGAAGATAGCTTGATCGTTTATAAAAATGTATGGAATTGTTACCACTGCGAAGGGTTAGTACAAAATACT